ATGGATGCAAATTTTTTTGCATCTTTTTTCTTTTTTGTAAATTATTTAGATGCATTTTTTCTTTGCTAATTTTCTTGCCCATCTATAAAATATGGAATGTTTCATTGAATGTACAACATTAACAAGTATTAATATCATAACAATAGGTAGTAAAATACTATTAATACTAATTAAAATATGAATGAGATAATATAGTTGTTGTATATCATTAATATCAAATGATATACAAACAAGATTAAGAAATACTTGAAATGTTTTAATCAATATTCAAAAGAAAGAAATGAGAATAAAAAATAAGAATAAGAATGAAATTAAATAATTTTAATATTAATAAATTTATAAAACAATAATCGAAAACAAATTATATGATAAATAGAATTAAATGAAATAATAAATAATATAATTAAATATAAATATGAAATGATAATAAATGAATAACATAAAATAATTAATATTTTAAATTTGAAAATAAATATAACAATAGTTTCAACGTTATCAAAATAAATGATATAAATTTTAACGATAAAAATAAATAAAAAAGGGGTAAACATGAATAAGTAAATTTATTATATAATTAATTACAAAACAACTATCAAAAACAAACCAATACATACATATCAATAAATTATGAACAAATATTTTATATTTGAAATTATGAATGATGTTTAATTTAAATTAAGAATAAAAACATGAAAATATACCAATTATAATGTTAATGGAAAGTAAAAGAAAAGCGATAGGAAAATAAAAGTAATAGAAAGAATAAAAAAGAAAGAGGAATTTATTAAAAAGGGTAATAAAAATAAAATTTTTATTGTATAACAGCCATTTAGTGATAATAAACCAAGAAATAGGGTAAATAAATGATAGGATAAACATTTTTTTAAACATAATAATCAATACATATAGTAATTTATACAATAAAATAATTAAAAGAAAACATTGTTACAAATTGAAAAAACCATATTTTTGTGAGTTAAAAAAGAATAACATGATAGAATCATGAGAATGCTCTGATATAAAAAGGCAAACAAAGAACTTGAAAAATATAATTATGATAGGAGTTGTTTTAGTTTTGCTTGTATTAGGAAGTGAAGGAAATTCGTTTAATTTAAATGAAGATCCACTAAAGTTGTTTGAGCAATTTAAACAAGAATATAAAAAAGAGTATTTGACTGTTGCTGAAGAGTTAAGAAGAAAAGCTATCTTTATACAAAATGTTGAGATGATGAGAGAGCACAATGCAAAAGGAAGTTCTTATAGAATGGGAATTAATAAATTTGCAGATATGGAAAGCAATGAACTTCTTGCAACATCAAGTATAATCCAAAGTAATAGAAGAATGGGTGCAAAAAGAATTCAAGAAATGATTCGAATGGAAAAAGTATATTCAACAAAACAAACTCTTAAACAAGCTGTTCCAGATAATTATACATTATGTACTTCTGAAGCTGAATATAATTATTGTGGAACCAATAATATTGACCAAAATTTATGTGGTGGATGTTATGCAATTGCAACAGCACATCATTTATCAACAATCTATGCCTATTTAACTAAACAAGTTGATAATAATAAACCAAAACGAAAAATGTTATCTGCCCAACAATTGCTTGATTGTAATACCGAGTCATGGGGTGGATGTGGAGGAGGATTTGCTGAAGATGTTCTTGATTCTGTAGATGGAATTTATTATGCAGATGATTATCCATTTATTGACGCTGATAAAGATTGTGAAAATGTTACAGATTGTGCAAAATATAGACATGAATGTAAATCACTAGAAATCGATTATCCATTAAAATTTGCTACTAGTAATAAATTTACTCACTTTGCCAATAAAAATTGGGAAGAAATAAAAGAAATTATTTATAAATATCATGGATTTATTAGTGCAATGAAAGTTACTGATTCATTATTGAGATATGTAGGTGGTATTTATAAGTCTGAAAGTTGTACTGGAAAAATTACTGATCATATTGTTGTTGTTGATGGTTATGGAGAATGTGATGGACATAAATTCCTTTGGGTAAGAAGCTCTTGGGGAAATGATTGGGGAGTTGAGAATGGACATTTCAAAATTGATTGGAACACTCTTTGTGGTATTAATGGCGTTGATGAATATGACGATGGTTCTCAACTTCAAAATAATTTATATGTTGAAATGTAATTAGGAACTGGGGATACTGCTGAATATAATCCTAAAGATGGTGCTGGTGATGATAATAAAGATCCAATTGGATGCGTTATTGTTAGTCCATCTGGTGATCCATCCAATAGTCCTGAGGATAACAAAACAACAGGAGTTGTTATGGCTTTATTCGTCTTTTTAATGATTTTCTTCATCTAATTTTGGAGTCTTCTTTGAATTTTAATCGGTTTTTATAACAAAAAGTATTTTTTGATTAATTTAAATTAATTAAAAATATATCATATTTAAATATAACAAGCAATTAATTAAGTATTAATAGAATTAAATTCTATTGTTCCTGCCTCAGGGGAGACTAATAACAATGAGTCTTCTTCTAGCAATTTTATTGAGTATGTTTGGTTATGATTGAAGCAGTATTCCATGACATCCTTCATGTTTTTTATTACAAGGTTTTTAATTTCTTTCTCGATGTCGATCTCAATTTTTAATTCTTTAATTAATTTAATACTTTCTTTATTTATTAATTCATTGACTGATATTACTACTGGAATTATTTTGACATCTTTTAACTTTTCTATTTTCATTAACCTATTCTTTAATTCCTTATACATATTTCTTTTCTTCATTTACACTCAAATAATATTGTGATCAGCCACAATAGTCATATCAAATATTAGATTAGTTTTGTTCTTTTTATCTATTACATATATATGGTATTTTGTGATATTGTCATTCACTTTTAGGCATTATTTGTTTGTTCAATATCATAGTGATGTCTTTATATTGGAACATTGTTTCATATGGAGGTTTTTTATATTGTTTATTTCCTGTTTATTTTCTTATTAATCAATATTATAATGCCTATATTGTCATGTTTTTCTATTTGTGATTTTTATGATAAATACAAGATAGTAGAATGTGTTCTACTGTTGCTATCTTGTCTTTACAAAGTGTTTAGTATTTCAATCTTTCATTTTTCATTATTTTTGATTTTCTATACCCACAAAATATTACTCCATCTTGCATTTTAGTTAATTGTAGGAATGCATTCTTTTTAATATTGATTGACTTCCATGCTTTAACTGTAATAGTTTTATCTACTCATTTTGACTCGAACCATCTTCTAAAATGTCACTTATTTGATGAGACTTCCATTTTTTGATGTATTTGTCAATAATTTTTTTATTTCTACTACTTCTTTTTCTTTTTTCTTTTCTATCCCTTCATTTATTATTTCTTCTATTTTTGTTTCTGGGATTTTATGACCTAGGGCTTTTTGAATTCTATTCCATATTCATTTCTTACTGTACCATCTATCTAATATGTTATTTCTTATTTCACTTTCTCTGGTACAGTAGTACATTATTGTTCTTACTAATTCATTAACATATTCGTCCCTTATGTTTATTAATCATTCACCCATTTCTTCTATAATGACATACAACCTATCTTTGGAGTTTCACCAATGTATTTTGCCTTTCTTAAATATTTTCTTATCTCCAAATCAATTTTATCTAGGTTAGTGACTTTCCAATTTACAACTGATATTGAATATCTGAAGATAGGGATTACTTCAGTGTTTATTCTAGTAATATATCTTCTATTACTACTTTCATCACTGTTTATTTCTTCCATCTTCTGATTCATTTTTTCATTGATGGATTTACAATTGAAGGTGTCATCAATTTCATCGGACTGCCATATTCCTAAGTATTTATACAAGTCCTCACCTTCAATTAGGGGGATGTTTTGCATTCCATTTGGTATTTCCTTAATGTTTTTTAATACCATTCCTGACTTTTTCTCATTCATTTCCATCCCTATTCCACTTATTATATCATCAATTTCATTGTGGATTATTCCCATTTCTTCACTACTTCCCGTCATTATTCTCAAATCATCCATATATAAAGTGTGATTTGATTTTGTGAATTTCTTTTCAATGAATTGAGAAATCACATTCATCTGAATGATGAAGAGTAGATTTGATAATGAATCACTTTGTAAAATTCCTCTATTTAATTTAATACATCCTAGATATTCATTAAATTTATAGCCAATGAATATCTTCAATCTAGTCATCATACTTTCAATAATGTTAATGATGACAAACTCATAATTAAAATATTTTAATGATTCAATAACCCATTCGTTGTTTACTGTGTCATATGCTTTCTTAATGTCATAATATGACTCCACATATTTTGGGTATTTTTCTTCTTTCTGCTGCTTTAACATATAACTATTAATTATTCCTTCTTTAGCAGCTAAAGATTGCAACTTACATCCCAGTTGATTTTTACTAATTTTCAATGATTCATTATTCATGTTAAGTCTTCTGTGAATCTTTTCTTTTAATATGGAGGTAAATACTTTCATAATTACATTTGTACAACTGATAAGACGATAATTAGTGACTTCATTCATATCAATTTGTGGATTAATAAAGTTCTTCCACTTACCATGTCTAATGGGATGTTTTGAATGAAGTTCACCCATTCATTAAAGATATTGAGAATGATTTCTCTTGATGATGACATCCTTTTCAAATAATACCCATATATAGTGTCTATTCCTGGTGCTTTCCAGTTACTTATTCTCATTATACTTAAATTTAATTCATTTATTGTTATTATGACATTATCATAATTGATATATCTTTCATTCCACGAGGTGATTTGTTTTATTTTCCAATTTTCTTTATTTAATATCACCTGTGTTTCATATAATGATTTCCAATATTCTAAAGTAATATCGTTATTTGGGTATATTTCATTTTTTTGTTTCTTCCTTATTCTAATTTTCTTGTTAGAATCAAACATTATTTTATTTGTATTGATTCTGACCCTTTCATCTTTATTAAATTTAATTCTTTCTTTGATCATTGTCATCATATATTTTAGGTATTTTATTCTTTCTAGTGCTTTAACTTTTATTCCTTCTTCATCATGTTCTTTTAATTTCATGATGCACTTTATTCTGTACCATTTCCTTCCCTTGACCAAATCTTCTAGTCTATTTATTTTCTTTAGGATTTCTTTTATTTCATCAAATTTATCTCTTATTATTTTATTTTGGAGATAAAAGTGCATAATCATTGAAATCCTCTTCATATCATCTTGCAGATCCTGCATTCTGCTTCCTGACCATATCCATCTATTATTAATTTCCATTATTAATCGGTCAGCTTCTTTTCTTTTCCAGTAGTAATTAATGTTTGAACATTTTTCTACTTTCATTTCTTTCACTTTATTGATGAGAGTGTTAAGGTATTCTTCATCAATTTCTGTAGAGTTATTCTTTAATATGTTTTTTCTTTATTATTGAATTACACTCTATTCTTCTTTATATTATATCATTTATTTTCACTTTAATGTGCCTTTTAGTGCTTTCTTTTATTTTATGTGACATTTTAATATATTTAATATATTCATTTTCATTATTGACATTGATATTTATTGCTTTTATTATACTTTCTATTTGTTCCCATCTTAATTTCTTATATAATTTCTTATTTAACAAATTAATTCAAAACAATACAACACTTCAATTAGAATTCTATTTGTTTGTTCTGTTGTATTTCTTGTCTGACTATCATCTCTTGTTTTTTGACAATCAGTGCTTTGCTTTTCTCTTCGATTTCCACTTCTGTCTTTTTCATAGGAGTAGTTTCGTTCATCTCCATCGTTCCTGATGATGCTTTCCTCAGTACTGGTTGTGTATTTATCACAAGTGTCATCGTTTTCTTCTTCTCTAATTCCTTCTGTGAGATAAAATTTTCAATATCATCTTGTTGTTTTGATATTATTTGTTTTTGTGCTTCATTTTCTTTTTGTGTGTTGTCTAATTCTTCTCTTGTTATTTCTGCAATTTCTT